TAGTAGCATTTCTGAACAAATCTTTTGGTTTTGTGCGTACCAGCGATTCTGGTGTCGCAGTAATTATTAGACAAATGAGTCTGTTGCTGATCGATAACAAAGTAAATATTGCTTGGAGGAAAAAGCTTTAACTAGTTACAGGTCTAATGGCCACAAATATTTTGTTTTTACCATTTAGTGTCTACTTAAGGTTAATTATTACATGTGATCAACCTTAATATAAATTCACAAGCAATCTCTCTGTGCCGTTTTCTAGGGCACAAAGTAGGCCGTGTGCGTTGTGATACTCCTACGACCAAACATTCTGGCGAAAGTCGTGACGATCAGTCCCCAGGGTATTCTGAAAACGGATCTGGCAGTAGTTTATGCGATAGGCTTCATCGCGTCGTTGGCCAATCAAATCTCTCCGATCCAAGTCCCCCGCCTATCCCTCCCCATCAAGTGCCATTAGATACCACCGCCCAGGAAGAGGTTTGATCTGCTCTCGCATTTTTGTTTCCATTTTGAATACTTTGGGAATTAAATCATGATTTATAAGTTCTCGAAAAGGCACATAAATGTCGTTTATTTAAAAGGAGGCCTAAACATGAATATGGAGTCACTTATGTTACTCCAGTTTGTGTTTCTGAAATCTAGATGTTAAACTGGTACTGCCGGTATAACCGGCAACCTGGCTACCTAAAATATTGTTGCTATTCTTCTGAAGATGGAAACTTAATGGTCGTCTGTGACTATTAGAGCTCTTTATAAAAGGGTAATGGTTCCTTCATCAACACTAAATTCAGCTGATAAATTGTCGGACTAAGAGCAGCTTGTTGCAGTATATGTTTTGAACCATCGTCGCATGTACAAATAGTTTGTGTTCCAAACGTGTTGCTTTTGTTCTTTTCTACCCCTGTGTTTTGTACTTAACCTCTCTTGAATAATCCTCGGACTTATCAAGAAATATAACGCTTAGTAAAAGTAGTCAATTAGTGTCTTTGCATTTACAGAGCAAATTAGGTTCGATTGTTTTATCTGTGGCACTACTGATTTAGTAGCAAAGTAGTCAATTCAGCCTATTATTTAGCACACAAACCTAAATAATTGCTGTGATTATCCCTGACACAATATGAAGAATCTGTTACTAAATAATCCAGCTATTATGTTCGATATTATGAGTAAAATTATCTTATGATTAAGTTCGTAAATCTACGTCCTCTTTAGTTATAAGAATGTTCTGGGAACACTTTTTTTGATATTTCTGGCTTAATCAAGATTAATAGTTTTCTGCCATATTTTCTAAATAAGCTCATGATTAAACGTAAAAAATACCTCAATTTAGTCATAGTTTTATGCGTTAGTAACTCATCTATGGAAATTACGAGTGTTATTACAAATGGAAGAGATGTAACAAGAATCCAGCGTATCGTCTTTGGTGAACTTACGGATTTTGTGGCCTTTATCTTCATGTGGAGTTGCTTTAAGCCAGGAATAGAAACGCATTTATTTGTTCATTTGTGTCTGGAAAGATGTCTAAGCGAAATGGTCCTATCAAGGGCTCTGCATTTTCCATAAATGTGAAGTAAGCCCTCCCACTACCAATTTGTTCCAAACAAGCTGCCTACAAGTTTAGTATCTCCTGCGTCAATATTTTGAAATTAAAATACAGACCAAGAGCAGGTTATGTGGTTTGCTATAATTACTTCCCATATTAAGCCTGTTTACCACGCTCCTTAGTTGTAATTATTTCTAAACAAGTGGCCAGGATTCCAGCATGTTATAGCTTAATTTAGCTACCAAATAGCAGCCCTACATATGGTCTACGTAATGTAAAAACACATATGCTACTCAACTGATCCTGGGACTTCCCTTAATTCCCTATCAACTGTTACTTCAACGTTTCTAACATGCAAAATAATTTTCAAAGCCTCTAGGTGATGTAATGTCATTTTACTACCAAGATTTACATTCAGTAAAACAATTCCAAACGTCGTTTTGACATTTTGCTGCTTTACCTAATTGCCCGATTCTTTACATTACTTTTCTGGCAGTGTAGAGGCTATGTGGTTTTGTGACACCTTGCAAACTCTTCTGTATGCTCATTAGCAAGTTAACCCCATTACGCGCTGCATACGGCGATCGGCACCACCTGCTGCCGCTCAGTTATAAAAAAAATTTTGCTGGGAATCAGATATTGCATTCGCGCACTAGGCTTACTGACCAGCCATATGCTGCATTGTCCACGTGCAGTCATATGGATAGAGGTTTCAAGCATGACCACCCAATAAAAACGCACTTGGCGTGGTTGTCCGGGGTTTGCCTGAATTAAGATATTTTTAGTACACGCAACCAAAATGCCTTTTTTGCAAGGGATTATCTGTGGTCTCTGCTTTGTGCACCTTACGACGTCTAAGTCTGTCGGTGTTAATTCTCAAGGCCGCGTTTGTGTAAGAAATCAAACCAGCAAGTTAAGTAGGTCGAAAGTCATGCTTAGTTTTAAAAAAATAATTTGAAATCCCAAAACCAACAGTCTTCGGGTCACCCACAGGTACGAATATTTTCAAATTTTTCAAACTGGACTTGTGGTGGAATTAAATACAGACAATGGAATGTGGTGATTGTGTTTACATCACACGTTGCTGTGCGCTCCTATTTTACATCTTTTGTACTTGAGAGCACGGACACCTTTCCTTATAATGGGCTCGAAGACGACATATTTTAACATTTTAATAACTAATGACTGCTGTTTCTCGCTCTTTTTTGAAGTTCCTTCGACCTTGATTAAACGCATCAAATCGCACTGTGGTTGTTATTACGGTTTCCATACATTTTTATGAGAAGTCGATTAAATTTGTTCGCAGTATTTCACATATAATTTCAGTTATTTTGTCCTGCTACAACTAAAGAAGCCTTCTGCTACATTCTTTTAATAACTAGCTTGTTTCTTAAAATATTCGGCTTAATCTTTTGGGCTCACCGCTCTAAGCAACTCTTAATCTCTTGCATGAACACGGCAATTTTCTGGATTCGTTATCAAAATAGTTAGCAATAATTTCCAACCTATTCACAGTGACCCTTTGTGGGAGTGCAGAAGAACGTGAGATCGTTCTTACGCTCCCTTGGATCTCGTCATGGTCATCAGCTTTTTAAGGACAAGGTTTTATTTCTAAAGACCTGAAAGATAGTGAGGTAAGTGGCATTTAAAAACACATCTGTTAATTGATTCTTTCTTTTGTCGTGTTCCTGTGAAAACTGAAGTCTTGTTTAAATCCACACAATAATACAATTTACGCATTGGATATCAACGAATATGACCACTGCATTTACGATGATTAGTTTATGTATGTCGTGTGAGACCATGCCCTAAATGTATGTGTCGTAAATTAACAAAAAGAACACTCGTGGTGCTTAAAACTAGTCAAAATATTCAAATATCATCAATTAAATGTCCATTAGATTTCTGAGGACAGAACAAGAGGTGCATTCCTCGTCCCTTCGTTAAAAACCCGGATTTTGGTAGGCTCTTATCTGCGAGACGGTGTTGCTTTTCTTCCAGTGGTCTGGACATAATTGTGCCTAAAGCTCTGTTTAGGGTATTGTGCTTCGTATATGCGTTTGATCGATGCGGTACCGTCGTAAAATATTATGCCGTTTGATAAATGCCCCATTTAATACATTCACGATTTAATTATTTTCTACTATGCAATGACCGTTGAATAACTAAATACAAGTGAGTTCGGCAGGCATTAGTTTCTTACTCTCAAAAATTCACTGCTCCTAGTAGTTACGACGAACTGAAATCGCTATTGTGCTTAATATAACCGAAGGATACAGTAAAAGTACGAAGCACAGAAAATATTTTGGCCTAATAAAATATGAATTTCAGTTTTCCAGAAGCGTTTATTATCTGTTTTATCTGTAAATTTAGGACCATGCACGTGTTTCACTATCGCAAATGATTCAAGGATTGCAATGTCTTCAAAATGGACTTCTATTTTGTAGAACGAATTTTTTGCGATAGCAAAGCGATTTCGCAAATCAAATTACTTGTAAAAACAGCTGGATGTGGAAGATTTTATCAATTCTCTAGGGAATGTCTCAAAAAGCACCACTAAAATGGTTTTGATGTTTTCGGAAGTGATTGAAGCTCTGAGACACACACACTACTGATCTTAGTTTGCAATGCAGAATTTGCTTTTAAGTATAAGGTAATTACATGCTAGTAAACATGCATAGCAATTAATACTCTGGATATCTTCGTGGACTCGTTTCAAAAATTTAATCAGAAAAACATTAGCTGTGTGTACATTTTTGTTGTATGAAAATATGCCTTTCTCTTGGAAACTTTAAAGGCATAATCTGAAATATCCGGACGAATTTTGGAAATATGCTTGATCAAAAATTAGCTTTTGATTCTGTATTTGAGACAGAAATAAAAACTAATGCAATGGAGAAGGGAGTGAGTTTTGATGGAATCGTAGCGCAGCAGACTAGTTAGAATTATTCTACGTGAAATGAGGTTGCGATTTTTGTTAATGTAGAAAACATCAAAGACATTAAGAAGGTTGCTGCAGAATTTACAGGGCTTCAGAAAAGTTGATTTTTAAACATAAAAGTACACTTAGTCACTTTCCAACACTTAACGAAGGGAAAGTCTGCAATTTTTTAATGAATAAATGAATGGCCACTTAACAATCGTGGCTTTGTTACGTCCGACGCTCATTTTACCTTGCATGGTAGCTGTAATGAGACTAGCGGTACTTTAAGACCACTGAATTGTTACCATTGTCTTCACGACAGATCAAATTCAAATTAATACCAAAGGTTTCCAATATTTCGAAGCAAAAGTGCCTAAATCTTGTATTGTTTTCATTACAGAACGTTTTGTCATTCACAAGCTCTTTTCAATTTTACAAAGAGTCCCACTCTTTTCAGCAAATTCTTTCCCACCTTCCTCGTTAGCGCATTTTGACCCTTTAATTTTGGTGTCATGTTGCAAACTTTACTGTTTAATTCAGCTTGAATTGGCTAAGCACCAGGCTGTAGCACAAAAGCGAGTAATGGAACTCAGCGACCGACTCATGGGAACCAAGGCCAACTTGTCAAAGTTCCCACGGGGTTAGGCAGTGTATTTCGGCCCATGTCCACAGTTGGTCGAACAATCTAGGTCCGGCAGCAGCCTTTTCTCTGTGATTTTATTATTTCTATTGCAAATATGACATTCGTTGGTGGATATTATATAAAATCTATCACTAATATACGTTAAACTTTGGTATGCTTGTAGTCTTAATAAAGGGCAAATCGTTTGCTCACCAGGGACAATCACTAGGATAGTAATGTTACTACCGCCATTAAAACAACTTTGAGCACATATTCTGCTGTTTTGCATGTTAACGGTTCGGATTTGTTCTTTGCAAATCAAAATAAACTATTATTTGATGAGTAAAAGTCCGGAGACTTCGTAAACTATTTCCTGAGGCACTTGTCCTTCGTAAAATAAAAAAATGTAGGTTGATCAGGCCTCTGATCCACTCTCATGCTACGGCTTTGATGCATAGCTCGAACTGAATTGAAAACATTTGGCAGCTTTGCAAAAATAAAGTATTAAACTACTGAAATTTCAGAATGATGCTGAAGACGCTGGGTCAAGGCACTGCGACACTGGACCCAGCACCGCCCTCGATAAAGGCATTGCAAAGATCTCACTTTATGCTGACGATGACACAGACGATGCGCAAATTTGCCGCTGCTCAGACTCAAAAATGTCCAAGGTAAATAACTTCTTAGAATTGTGATAATATTGACATGTTGCTGAATCCCTTATCCGTGTTTTACGTCCACATTAATGCTTAGTAAACGCAGTAACTTAAATAGTAGAGTGATACTGGCACCGAGTTTTCAATTGTTTGAGCACAGACAAAGTTATGAAAAGGCATCCGCATGCAGCAGCTGTGCAGAAGCTCAAGTAGTAATTGGTTTTGGATACAGTTCCTATATCAGAATTTAGGCTTCGCTTTCTTCCCCTATGGCCACTGCGTACAATGGCATGATGCTCTCAATGTTGGATTTGGTTGATCTGCAAAAAACCGTTCTCAGTCAGAGAGACCGCTATATTACTTTCTAGGACTCTGTTTGTTTCTTGATCAGAAACTTTTCGAAGCAAATGTGTCATGTTGAACATTTGTCGCAACTTTTTGCATTTTAGATAAAACCATACGAGAATGTATCAGCTCTTATAGCGGGGTTTAAGGGTGCCAGGAAATGGCTTTCTGTTTCCCAGGAGGGACTCAATGAACTAATGGCAGATCCGTTTACTGGAAAACAGATTAATGCCGCACTAGCAGATCCTGGTAATTTTTCACCATTTCATTACTTATTCATGGTTTACAGGAAGGTCCAGATGTATCATGTTAAGCTTTGTTTTTAGGATATCTCTAGATTTGGCATCTTAGCAAATAGGTTCCACATCCTCTTTTGCTCTAACCAAGTGATAATATGATAATAGTAATCAATCCTTTTATTACTCCCAGTTTAAAGGAAGTAGTTTAGTTGCACCATTGTCAAACTCGGAGAGATATCGGGCATCGGAATGTGCAAAAGTTGCTACCGCTTTCATTTTTGACACTTTAATGTGGGAAAACAATTCCTTTGTATACCTGAACCACCCGAAAAGGTAAAATTTAATTATATGTATCCAATGTACTTGAATAACACGTATTTTCACTTCTACACATAACATTACTGGCATGTAATGGTTAAAATGGATATTCAGTCTCGATTTTTTCGAAAGAGTTTGCCAGTTTTCTTCATGAAAACTTGAATGCATCCTCTAATTTCGACCACGTGGTTAATGACGATCCCAGTTATTTATGCCGTTAATTTTTCTTTTAATTTAAAGGTTTTTATCGCGTTTTTATAGACTACTATCCTATGTTTATAAAACCCTTTAGTTTTTTGCAATTCAATGGAATGGCGATAGATCGTTTTAATTGAACCCTTAAGTCTACTGTGTCTACTTTACTTTAAACGGGCTTGGGAATGTTGTAATATTAATTTCTGATCACAAAATTGTATTAATTGTAATTCAGGGCAACTAAGCTCGGTATAGTGACCAGCTGTTTCGTCAGGTATACAGGTGCTGTTGTAAACGAATTTATGTTGTTTTATCAATTCTGAGCAACGTCAAATAAGATCTCTTTTGTTTGCACAATTGGAGATATCTTTAAAATGCTCACAGACGTTACACTATTCATCTACCTAAGTAATTGCAGTGTCGGTGGTAAAAGGCAAATAGAAACGCAAAATTTAATAGAATAGCAAATGCATTTTCGTCATTCTCAGAATTGTGCTTTTTAAATACCTTTGTCAGGTTTACTATTAATTTATATCCTTGAATTGACGTCTGTTTTAGCCCAATTTTAAAGCAAATTGAATGGAATTTTGTTTGCACCTGTTAGCCTAGGATTAATTTTACCTAAAATGCCAAAGGACATTTCAGACATATTTTTATTTTGTTATTTCTGTAGGACCAAGGAAGCCGCTAAGACTCATAAATACTCATAATGGACATGTCAGATTTGGCTAAACAACTACTCTGTGGTATTGTTGCACCCAAAATTTGACTGGCGAAACCAGAGCCAAGTTTCAACTAAGCCATACTGCAACTGTGTAGAAAGGTCACACGTGTCATACACAGAAAAATTAAACAAAAATTAAAAACTCATGGATTCTTTAAGTTCTGCTTGAAGGATTAGAGATGTTACTCAAAACAACGTATGCGTATTTGCAATATGCAGCTCTAACGGTTCGAAATTCTCCCTTTTTAAAAAATGACTCATAATTGACAGTGAAAAAGGGTTGACTTTAATAACAGTAGTCCAAAATATCAACAGTTCAAACATGTTGAACCAGCACACACCATACAGAAAGCACGCTGTCGATTTGGTGGAATTACTGATTAATTGTTTCGTTTACGTGGCTCCCAAAACAACGGACGTTTGTTTTTGATAATTACTGTTCAGAAATAAATGAATTCATGAAAGTATTCTATGAAACAGCCAGAATTCGCAAGTTGCAAGGGATCATTATTTTACCAAGATAATAAAAGGGCCAATAAGTATTTTGGTAACTCGTGGAAAATGGTCGGACCTTGGCTAAAATTTTACGTCAAAGCCCCAAATAGTTCTGGTCTTGTATTTTAAAATTATCATTTAAATCGAAGTTTGCATGATATTTTATATGTTTAAACTACTAATGATGGCAACCTGAATTTGCTCTTTGTACTGTTTTTACCTGTAAGGACCAGAATTTCTAAAAGAGAGGAAAGATTGCAGAAAGTTACCTGACAAATGAAAAGGACACTTTTAATTTAAGCTTATTTCTCGTGCATAAAATGTGAATTTAAGTTAACACAACAGAGCTAAAATTATCCAATTGTGAATCCATCAATTACTTACACAATGGAGGTTATTCCCTATTAAGGGTTTTGCAGTTGATTACATTTAAAACTTGTTAACTGCCTGAAACGTTAACGATGCAGATATTAAAATTATAAAGTTAAAAATAGGCTTCCTCTCTGTCTTCTTGGCCAGTTGTAGTGAATAGCACTTCTGTGGGTCCCAGCATGTGGTCTTGAACCACGCCGGGGCCACGGAATTAACTCTGGCCCGATTACGTTTCCCTGATACCCGCAATAAAGAAAAAGATCGGAGGGAACGTGGACATAACCGTTTACTTTTGAGCTCAACCACGTTGGTGTCGTTGTGTCATGTGTTGGGTTTGCGCGTGTGTATTTATACCTCGGATGTGTGAGTCATACATGCGCTAACATCTAGACCTAGGCGTGGAGATACTCCAAAATAAATATTCGTGCTAATGAAGGGGAGTTGAGGATCCGCGCGGCTGGCGAAATGCCGCGAAATGGGGAACCCTGAGGTGGAGCGACCGGATTAAGGGGTGTGAATAAACACGAGTCAGAACAGCATCACTTTAACTTGTCTTGACTGAAGTGACATCGTTTCTTGCCCTTGAATTAGCATGAAAGTATTATTTCCACATTGCTCATCCAAAAGCCGGTTTACCTGCTTCCTAGCCTCATTCTAAGAAACCCAGTGCATGACACTAAAACCATTGTGGGAAGCACAAGGTATTTTTAAACCTGCTGGTTGTTCTAATGCGGCTGTGTACGAGTTTTTTTTTCAAAATTATATTATGCAAGTAAGGGCGTTCATTAGACGAACACTTAAGGGCTTAATTTAACGAACACTTGCGCTTCACCGTGTACGGGAACGCTGATACGGTATACGTTAATGCAAAGTTTTGCCATGTGCATTCACTGCCGAAGTGCCAACAGAGAACTATCTTAGAGCTAATGTAGAAGCTCAGTTCTTGTAAAATTGTAAATGAAGCTTTAAACATCCCAGTATAGGGAACTTTATGCGTCTGCGGCAAAGCGGTTTCAAAACTTGAGCCTGGTAGATGGGCTTCCTTTTGAGACCATTTAGGTAGACAAGAGCACAAGCTTTCTGAATGCCGTTAATTTAATTAGCTTGTTCTCATAGATGTACATTTGCTTAAGGGCACTGGGAATAATACATGTTAGGATCTAAAACAATACGTTTACTGGCAAAACTCTTTGCATGATCATATTGCAAGCTTGTTATTGCTGCCACTTGAATTACTTTTTTCATCTCAATGCCTGCCACGAATTCGAAATGTTTAATCTGGCTAAACACCTTTCCGTCTTTTTTATTTTACATTGCATCAAAGATTTTTCAAACAGCAATTTTAATTAGGTGATCCTATGCCCTAATTGAGATAAAGTGAAACGATTTCTCGGCCAATGGCTTTGAAAACTATTTTCATTTTTAGTGAAATGAAAGCGATCTATAGGATCTCTAGCTTTCCTGTGATGAAGCTAGCTCAAATCAAGAGTAAACGTCAAAGTGGTAAAAGCAAATTTACCACAGGGACAGCCATTTGACGCCTGATGGCTGCCGCTGTCAGGAGTTGAAGTTGACCCTGTGGTTAAACGATCAGACTTTTAAATACCTTTTTTCTTATCAACTTTCAGTCACAAATGTAAATTCTAAAAACTTTTGGAAGAGTGGTCAAGCTGTGGCCTATGCTGACTTAACGTTCTTTGATCCGATGTTCGCTCGTACACTGAACGCCTCTAAAACTTCTAAAACAACTTGTGTTCGCTATGTGGTAGGCTTATCCTGCCAGCGCACGAATCCAGAAAATTGTCATTAGTGTTTAAACGCCAATATAACATCTTTCCTCTTTTTTCCATTTTCTGTTTAGCTGCGCAATTAAATTTGAAAAGCGGTGTATTTTTTCGGCCCCTATGGGAAAATAGGCTCCAAACACCTGTACCTAAACAAATGTGAAAAATTTTAAAGCAACAGCTAAAGTAGGGAGCAGACAGCAAGCCACTAATTTTTTTTCGGGGCACGCGTCTCACAATATCTTAAAATGCATATTTTACCCCTGCTGATTCAATTTCCGTGCTGAGTACAGTGCTAACGGTCAAGGAACCAAACAACTTAATCCGGAAATATTAACAAAAGATTAAATGAATTCAAGACTGATACAATGCAATGTTATTAACAATGACCAATGCCAACGAGGTATGTAGTTGAAGTTTTTATCTGTGAAACTGAAGTTATGGCTGCAATATTTCAGCAGGTTGCTCAAATCTGATGCTGGTTCCAAATATGACTGCTTTAGGGAAGAAGCAACTAAGTCACATTTAAACTGCCGTTTTCCTTCCTTTTTGACTGCTCTGCAATGCTCAGCTGAATTTTCTTGTTGGATTGAATTATTATCGTGCACTCTTGTGCATATTGGTTAGCATTTATTCAACCTTTGCTAGATATTCGCTTCCACAGCTGCCCAGAAACGATTGGCGCTATTCTGTACATCCATGCTCAGGTGTGGCTATTTCGTACTTTTAAATCCTGACGAGCAGTTTACTTCTTTTTGTCATGCAGCATTCATAAGATTTATTAAACCCACTAGATAATGTTTGCAAATTCACACAATATAAGCTTTTGTGCAGCAAAAATATGAGTATAACTGCTTCACGATTTAATCTTTTGATACACCATAGTGCACTACGAAATTCACCTTGTTTTCACTTAAAGAACAGCATCCCGCACGTTTAAATTGTTTATATTTGAACTTGGTAGTGTCAAAAATATCACAAGATTATGGACTAAATGACCGTTTTAAATGCATAATGTGCGCGTATATTGATTCATTCACGCATTTGGAGATCTAGCAGTAAGACTGTTGTCTCTAATGTGTCACGAGCGACCGGGGTGTTTATTTTTATTGAGAATCTCTGCGTCTGTTAGAAGCAACGGACGATGAGAGCCTTCGAGTAACAGACGAGGGAGCCCACGAGGACCACTCACACCCGGCCCCGGATAGCGAAGCACTACCCGAATTCGAGAGCTCTTCCACTAGCTGTTCCAGCGGTGTCGTCAAATTAAAGGTAGTCAATGGAGAAGGCAAAGCTAATGACGAGGACGACGCAGACGCGTTTGATGAAAGTCAACCCGATGAGGACGCTGACATGATTATGGTGACCCATGTAAATGTGCTTGTAATTATGGCTCGTGTGCATCACAGAAATATTTTTATGGAAATAAGCAAAGTTACTAGGTTCTGGCAATTTACATCCTCTATTATTCTGACACCATAAGTATACGATTGCTACCTTTGAACCAAATTCCTGGCTCTGCTATTGAAAGTTCATAAATACGTTTAGCCTTTTCCTTAATAAACTTAAGACTTGTCTTTGACGTGCCCAATCACCTAACTGTCATATAGTAAATTTTTGATTACAAAATAACTCCTGTTTCCTGTTTGTTACATGAGAAAAATGTGCTCTTATGCTAACGACAATCTACGATTGTTTTGCCGATTTGGTGCAAATGGCTACCATATACAGAGCCCAAGCATTTGTGTCTTATCATAAAAAAACTGCATTGAATACCACTCACGTATCCATGCTTCAAGTTTTACTACTTTGCTAATTTCTCTGATTAGCATCATGAACTGCTTACTAGTGGTTAACAGCTGGCATTTTGTTTTTGTCATGCTCTAGTCTTCTTTTATTTCGGGCCTTTACCACGCCTAGTTTTCTTTCACACATTAAGAAAAATCAAAAATCTACCTAAACACTTGTCGGAAATTGACCCTAGATGGATGTTAACTCCAGCGGAAGTGATGCTGACATTCAGCAGGACGATACCGAGTGTGACTTTTCACCTCCAATTCCGCACCGACAGCGGCCTCGTTCTTCTAGCCGGAGCCATCGTGCGCAGACCCTAGCCCATCCCTCCTCTTCCTCCCAACTCCGTGGTAGGGCAGTCGAGAAACCAGTCCTGCTTCACACCATGTCATCTCGATGTGGCACAGCCCGCACCAGGTCGCGTCTTCGCCTTACGGACAGTCAAACACTTGAAAAGTTAAGGTCTATTGTCAGTAAAGGACATCCATGTGAGAAGTATGCTACCCTGGAGCGGATAGGCCATGGGTGCGTTTGTCAACTTAAGTCTCCTAAAATCCCGTCGTGATTTTCAGTTGTAATATCATTTTGTGAAAAACTTTATTTGTTTTCATTTACTCTAACTGCACTAGAACATCTTAAGTAAGTACTGGGATTTGCATTTCACCCATACTTTGGTTTATAGCAAATAATTGCTCCTATTCTTTGCATAATTAAAATACTAACGGGCCTTATTTCAAGGCTCATTGGTTGAGAAATCTGCATGAGGTTACTTTTTATTGTTCTTGGCCCGGGGAATTAGTGGGTCTTTGAAGTACACATATCAATACCCAACATTTGTATTGAGTGCCTAACATTTGTAAGATTCTGTTCCATCGGTGACAGAAACAGTTTTTATATTTAACATCTGCGTGGGCTGTAGCCTATCTAGTATACTCGTAAAAAAGCTATATAGTTAGTGTACCCGTTTTTCCTAATTGGTATCTGTGCATTGTTCAAATAGACTTATTTACTTAGTAAATCCATTACAATTTGAGCCTTAAATTAATTTAGCACTTATAATTTGTCCGAATACTCCAAAACAACCGGATTTGGCTCCAGCTTCCTTTATATAACAATATTTAGCACCAATAATCTGTAGTGGCTCCGTTAGCACATCCTTACAACCTTGCTAATCGACAGTCTGTAACAGCCCGAGAAGAAAGGCATGACCAATGATAGCAAATATTACGATTTATTTACATTTACCACCCAGACCCTTTTATAGCAGAACGCGTGAGTGAATATCGAACGTCAACTGTAATCGACAGTAGATAACATTGGATCGATTCATGAATCAGCTTCACTCACGTTCGTTTGATAAAAGCTCACTACAAACCCACTTTTTGCATCACACAAAATTCAAAAGAAAGCGTTACTCCACACCATTTGTCTTTCAGGGCATCTGGCGTTGTGTATGTTGGTGAGAACATTGCAACAAAGCAAAAGGTTGCCATTAAGCAAATGAATCTCAGGCAGCAGCCAAAAAAAGACCTCATTCTCAATGAGATTCTTGTTATGCGGGCTCATCGCAATGCCAACATTGTAAACTATCTCGACAGCTTTTTGGTAGGTTTCCTTATTTTATCACCACTTTACGTTAACTAAAACACGACGCTTCTGCCAAAATGCGGAATGTCAATGTCCGTTTTTTCCATTTTGGATTACTCTTAGTATATTGTTTGTAAATTGGGCATCAATTACTTAGCCTATCAAAAAATACAGAAGTTTTTTGCGAAAACTAATGCTAAATGTTGCAGAAATTATCAATTTAGGTAAGAATGCAGTAGTTAAAGCATTTTGCCGGATGCGTGTAACTTAACAAGTACAAAAAAATATTTAAAAAGGTCGTGGGTACAAAACCTGAGTTAGGAGTTTTAAACAATGTTAATCCCTCCATTCCTGGGTAATTAGTTTTCACGCTTACATATTCACGTAACGCGTTGTAGTTAGAATGTAGACGTCCCATTTTCAACTGCGGCTAAGTTTCATGAGATTAACGGTCCCCTCGTTGCATTTGAATTCACATGGGAATTTTGCGGCACTAGACGGTCACAACTGCGTCGTCTCAGTTAACCTGGCCGTAATGTAGAACAATGTGGAAAGCTGACGTCTTTCACACAGTCAGAAAATTGAACTCTACGGACTAATTAAGCCACAGGAAGTTGTTAAAGAGAGGCACAATGTCATTAGCCCTACCTGGTGTACACCCACTTTTAAGGATGACTTCATGAGTGTATTTGAAACTTCATAGAACTTTTGTAAGTAATTATTCTTCAAAATTGAGCGTGTGGTCAAGCCGTTGGCGATGATACATGTAGGATTCCCAGTATTCAAGTAAAGCTTAACGATCCTTCATGGCACTAAGAGTTCAGTTTAAAGTAAAAAAAGAACTTAACTGGTTGTCCTTTCACTAGCCTCTTTGGTTAGGATTCGAAATATTGAAATAAAACAGTTGATTTATTTGCCATTGATTTCAGCAAAATGTTGACAAAAAGGACATGTAATTAGAAATGCAAAACGCTTCGTTACCATTCCACAAATCCTCCGATACTGCTTAGCCAGATATCTAGTCTAGTTTGTAAGTATTTGATTAGGTGATCACTAACATCTTCATTGTTGTCAAATCACATTCCTTGAATTTAGCCCGAAGGTAATTCAAAAAGCTAGTAATCTGACAGAATTAGGCATGAATTGTACAAAGGATCCCCCGGAACTTTCAAACAAAACTCAATAAATTTAGTCTTGGTGGGTTGTGTAGTGTGAGATTAGGTGTTGTCATCCTCCAGATTCACGTTTCCTTGAGGTCAGGTTGCGTCGATTGAGTAACCTCGTTCAAGCGATGAACTTGGGCAGTGTGGTGATGCTGGCTTTTTGTCTGATGCTGCGAAGCACATCTTAATGTGTGGTGCTGTAAAAATCTCTCTACATGCAAATTTTCATCTTGTGGTTAAGAAGGTCCTGACAACGTAATTGTGGAATACTTTTTTTCCGAACATTTTTCCTTCGCTTAAACATGAGCAAATAGGAGGCAGGAATGTAGGCGTGTGGTCACCACTCGGCGCCATCAGATGCCCTTCACCTCTATAGACCTATTGTTGCACTCAGATCTCATTGTATATTTCAGACTTTCACTCGACCTTTAGAAATCCGTGTGCCTCGGGGAAATTTGCAAATAGCCTTTGAATCATGGTTTGTAAGCCGCGTGCTTGCCTGTAGATACCCGTGGAAAATAAACAAACAAAATCCAGGTCAGCTAGTGGCATTATCAATGTATTAAAAATGTGGAAAAGTGCAATATTTGCGACTCATCGGCTGGCATTTATAGAGGGGAAGAAGTAGCTGAAGGAACAGGAGTTAGTAAACAGAATTAAATAAGATGGGATCGAACTAAAGTGCAAATTAATTGGGGCAAAATTGAAGCAGCAAGTAATCTCAGTGAAACTAAATGTGCATAGTTGCTTTTGAATGGGCTTCCTTAAGGTTTTTGGCCTGTTTTACGTTGATGATAAAAACGAATCGGAGTTTTTTGCTCGATATGAAACTAGGAATTTCTGGCTTCTAAATGGATTGATAATAAGTTGTTACATTACACAGAAAATTTTCTTTGTTTACTTGCTATATCATGCAGATTGGCAGTGAATTGTGGGTAGTGATGGAATACCTTGATGGTGGTTCGTTGACCGACGTCGTCACGGAGACCTGCATGGAAGACAGGCATATAGCCACGGTTTGTCGCGAGGTAAGCAATGTGACTGCTGCCTAGGCGTGTCGTGTGAAATTGTGTGCTCGTCTGTTTCACTAGAGCAAACTTTTCTCATGAACATAGACCTTTCATACCACCGTGAGTGATGGTTTATTTATCGTCATCATGTCACTACCCGATGGAAGGCCACTAATTTTAACTTAATTTGATTTCAAATTATATTTTACAAGTCTCAATCAATATTTGTACTTGCGAATTTCTTGGTTCGTTAAAAATTTATCTGTTCTTACTTGATTGCAGACCTTGCAGGCTCTAAATTTCCTCCACTCGAATCACGTTATCCACCGAGACATCAAGTCGGACAATATTCTCCTTGGTCTTGATGGTTCGGTGAAATTAACGGACTTTGGATTTTGTGCCCAACTTAGTCCTGATGAGTCGAAGCGCTCGACTATGGTCGGAACACCCTACTGGATGGCCCCCGAAGTTGTTGTTCGGAAGCAGTATGGGCCCAAAGTGGACATTTGGTCTCTTGGAATAATGACTCTGGAGATGCTTGATGGAGAACCACCATACCTCAGTGAAAACCCTCTAAAGGCAAGTACTACCAGAATAAAACAGCAATCAACTATATTTCATTCCAAACTGATTGACCCAAGTTTATTCAAATTGTTGAATGTTGTTTATACCACAGCTCATTCCCTAGAAGACTTTACCGGTGTTGGAAAATACGTTATTCGGTCTTATTATAAAATTGACCACTGCATGCATAGATTAAAGGAGTGCAGCTCCGTACTAGAAGGTCACCAAAGCCACAATGTTTAATGTGAAACCACATGGAAATCCACCATGACTAGGATTCAGATTGATTCCGTGGTTTTAGGATTCGATTCAACCTTAAGGTCCAATTTTTGACTGACATTGTTTTACGATAAGCACCACTATTGCTCCGATGAATTCACATCAAAGAAACAAACTTTGAAGCTGCAGGATCACATCTTTGAAAATGGATTCTGGCAGATAAGGTTCTATAGGATTCAGGCTTAACTTAGTTGTAGGAAATCGGCAGTTTACGCCGATCATTAAGAATGTCTTTATGTGCAATTTGTCTTATCTTTTAGGCCCTCTACCTCATCGCGATAAACGGTAAACCAGAGATAAAAAGCAAAGATCGGCTAAGCGACGACCTTGTAAACTTCCTGGACTGTTGCCTCGAGGTTGACGTTTCAAAGCGAGGTACTGCTGAGAAGCTTTTAAAGGTAGTGCCTTTTGTGAAAAGTTGCACATCACGATTATGCTATTTCCTTTGAAAATATTAAGTGTGTAATTGCTAACCAGTCGCAAATTATAAGTTTTTGGATCGTCAGTGTAGCATAAGATCCCAACTCAAAAGACCACCCATCTCCATTTAGACAGTCAAGTTAACTGATGTGGTCAGACAATAATTCAGGTTGCGGCTATAAAAATATGCTGAATTTGATGACAGAACACACGATTTGTGTTATTTAACTCCTGAGGAATTAGTATCAATGAAGAACTGGAATATTAATAACCAATAATTGTAAATAGATTGGTTTCGCAGGACATCAAGGTCTAAATTTTTGCAAAATAAGTGTCATGCGCCAACGCCTTGCAACTCGAGTCGTGATTATCAGCCACAAGATGTGAGAATTATTATAGCCTTAAAAGCGCCATCTGAAATAATTTGCTAAACTTACCTTAGACACGATTTGTCAACTCAACAGTTTCGCGGCCATTTAGGGGCTTGGCAATGGTATCATTGCAGATGGAAAGGTATTTAACAATGTCATCCCAAAGCACGCTAGAATCTGCCTTGTTCAGGGTCCGGAAAGTGAATACTGCTCACCTGTACACTTTAAACTGCTTGTTATTGGAAGTTTTTTTAAACAAGTTCCATCACATGTATAGTAAATACTAAAATTAGCACTTATTTTTTCATGACATTCTAATTGTGCATAATTGAATTAGTAATTGGAGTTCTCAGACAATTACATGATTTAAGTTCTTTAGATGGAACAATTTTCCTTCAGGGTTTTATTAAATAAATGGGTTGAAATGATAGATATCATTGGAGAAGTTGCATGGCTACGCGATCCACAGCACACCTTTTAGTTTTGTCAAAAATCGATTTTTGTCATCGGCACTGTGAAAGGCTGATTATTCCCAAACATGAGGCACCAGATAAGTTGTGTCCAGTTTCTATTTGTATCTTCGGTGATAAAAAGTAACTTACGAAGTCCAAAGTCGTGAACAAACGCAGACCTTTATAATTATGGCTACCTCGGTTGCATCACATCTGTTGGTCGATCGATTTCCCCATTAGCCCCATTATGAACGTAATTTGATATCTGAGTACATCTAAACTGTCCATTGCATAAGAAATAATTGGAAGGATGTATGCATATTTAACTGGGGCTATTCACCTAATTTTGGCGAATGAAATTTTAATACGGATTTCATCCTAATTTCGTCAAGTTCCATTTCAGACATTTTCGGATATACGCATCTACCGTAGCTCATTAATGTCTGCTCCTAAGAATTTAAAACTTGTTCGTACATTAAGTACATGTTTCATTAAACTTCAGATAAAATTTGAAAACTGGTTGAGGTTTTCTTGGATATACTAAAATTCGCTAAACTCCAGTAATACACAATTGACGCGTGTTAATTCGTGGTTACGTTGAGACTGCAGTGTATCAATTTATTCCACTCAAGCAATGTTTTGTCTGATATGTTAATATTCACGTCTTGAGTCCTCTAGGGCAAGTAATCGAATTAAATTTAACTATTCAACATTGGCACTTTGTGTTTTCAGCATCAGTTCATAACTCGAGTATCTGAACCTGTTGATGTCCTCATTCCACTAATACTCCTCTGTCGCGGCAACAGTCGTAGTGGAGACAGCTGAATCGCGGTGCATGTTTCTCCCAAACTTTCCACAGTGTCTGTTGTGCCCCCCTCACACCGACACTCCGAAGCCTAGGAAGAGTGTGCGTGGAATCGTCCTGGAAAACTTGTCAGACACACGCACTTGTAAATATTCAAATGTTGCTGCGTGCGAACGAGTGCCAAATCGTGTTGTCAATTTCTTTCGCAAAAAGGACCGCAGTCTTTCTTTATTCTTGACCCCTTCATCGCTTCCTTGGGTGTTGTCTTCTTAAATCACTAGCCATCAAATTTCTGTACACACGAAACCCCTTAATGTCAGAGAAGCTATTGCAAATTTATTTTTAAGTTCAATGCGCTCTTTTTTCCAGATTGTACCTCATGATTATAAGTCCTACTCACATATTATTTGATTCGTAACCAGATGTAGCTTCATGATGTGTGAAAAACTCAAGTGCATAAACATAAACAGTGCGAAAAAAGTGGACTATGCATCATTGTAGCTTTGCCGACCCTAAGAAATCACCAAGCCTACAGTACAGTGACCAAGGATGACAATTGTACTGATCAATCAAAGCGGCGTAAATTCTGTCGAAAAACCACTTTTGTCTCACTACGAAGCTCCTTTATTGCACCTGCACAAAGATGATCCCAAACGCTTCCTTTAGTTAATAGACCTTGCCTAATTTGAAGAAACCAGCAATAAACTGAAGTAACTAAGGTGATTTTGCTTACACTGATGTCAGCCTAAGGCCACAGATTCACTATAAACTTGTGTCACTCGTTAAAAATTGTGCATTGGGTAGGTTGGGCGGGCTGATTCATCTAGCCGTCTTATCTAAAATCTGCCTTTTTAAGTCGCAAACATTAATTAAGGTTTTGTGTTTGAAAAAAGTGAACGCTTTGGGCGCGGTTCCGGTGGTTCTGCACTTTTTTGAAATTTTTTTTCGCCATTAGTAGTAACTGACTTCGGCGAAAAAATCGTTATGCATTTTGTTCGTCATATGTAATTTTAAGAAGCAAACTGGGACCGCTTCACGGAAGCAACTCACATCAGTTCCACCACTAATGCTGGATGTGACAGCTGAGACTCGAAACAGGTGAGTGCGTTTCTGTCATCACTTGAGTACATCACGCGAGGGAGACACGTGGCACCTAGCGTCACGCCAGTGGCGAGTCTACAACCTAAACCTCACCGGAAGGCGCTCAGTGCACGCCGGTACCGAAGAGACTGCGGAGGTCTGCCGGGATCATTTCCACACCGAGGATGCCGGTCAAAGTGAAAGCCCTCCAATGAACTCCGGTTAGGTGCGAGTGATCCGAAATTCCCACACAACATTTAGCATAGCAACCAATTACTTGAACTCAAAGTTGGGGCGACTCCCAAAATACCACGGAAGTCTTGGCAACATCCTTCCCTTCAACCAAATTGATCATATATTTTATGTGGGCGAAGTTTTCAGAACAAATTTTCCTTCATCTGTGCCTTTCAGATTCTAGTAAGCTTGGGGTTTCTACCCGTTAAAGAGCAGGTTAGTTAATTCATTCAAGTTGAAGACACCTACATTAAAAGTGTAAAGACCTATCTAATGGAAATTATTACCTAAATATATTTGCAGTATACGGTTATTTAGCAATGGAATTGTAAATCGTCGATGTTTGACCCATGATTTAACACACCAAAGTCACTAATTATGGGGTATTTTTTGGTCGTCAAACCAAAAATAGTCAAGAAACGAAATAATGTAGACAAAGAACCTCATGGTTCAGCGTTGGATTTACACAGACCAACCCGAAAAAACAATTGCAATGGACAGGTACTTGGACGAGGTAGGTGCACGCGGTCATGAAAGCAGCTGTGCAGTTAATAGCATTGTTAATTCCATTAAAGCAAAGGTACATCCTTAGCTTTTGCAATATCTCGATTTTATTTCCCACACACTGTTTATGAGATCACATGCAATCTTATCAAGGAACTGCATGACCCATGACATAGACACCAAAGCAAATAAATAGATTATCTGTTGCGTTCAAAAATAGTTACCTAAAAGATCAACTTTTGTTGCTAAGGTCATAAATATGCCAAGTACAGACGCCGCCGCGATCGGTTTCCTGTCCCAGCTCTGGGTGACAAATGCAATACAGATCAAAGAAACGGTGAAAAGTATACATAAAGGATGATACGGCAGCACGCGTCGGTAAACACGAATAGCCCTTTAGAAGCCTTGAGTCTTTCAAATGAGTTTACGACAGTTACTTTTAAGAAATTGGCTTTCGGTAAATTAGGCTACAACCAGCCTACTTTGGACGCGTGCGCACAGTGCAATTTCATAACTACCTGGGGCTGTCAGTTGATTTATTGCAAATATGAAGGCACAGTACTGAAAAACAATTGAAACTGGAACACAGTTCAAACGAAGAACCTTACAAATAACGCCAAAGACTTGTTCCAGGACTGCAGCTTAAGTCAACTTTGGATTTTAAATGGTAGCACCATCGTTCCAGTTTGAACCATCTCAGACCACATTAATGCAAACAGTGACTTCATTCCCATTTTAACTTGATTAAGTATTTTGAATGAAAAAATTACGGTTACACATTGTTCTTGAACTAAAATTCGAAGGCTGCTAATTTCAGAACTACACAATTCCCAACACGGACATCCAGTTTGGCTTGTGCAAAGGCGATTCCTGTCCACACTTTCCACGTGAGCGCCGTTGAAAAAGACATCGCAAATCGCTCTCTTCCATTTAGTGGCCACAGCACGTCTGCATGGTGCACTTAGTGTAGAGTCAAGAATTTAAATTCTCACCTGATAAATACCTAAACACAAGACACGTAATTTCCTTTACAGTTTTATTACAGAACTGGCGTTTGCGGTGGTTTGGTCTGTTCGCCGTGTTTCATGTGGTGATTAGTTGGTAAAAGGCGAAAACAGTTGCAAAAAGAAGGCGAGAAGAGAGTTGAAGTCAGCGAGTAGGAGACGAACAGTGGTTGGTGTAGTAAATTTCAAATACAATAACTACAGCTGGCTGGGAGGTAACAGATCACGCTTGTACTCCGAAACAAAGGCAACATCCCAAAATTAGTCTATAGTTGTGTGTACACGGGAGTAGGTCAATCTCCACTTCACTTCTGTTTGGGGGAATTTCATGAAAAAAGGGCGAAAGCGCATCTCACCGCGGCCTTTATTAACTCTCGATCACCAGTAAAGCTGACGTTTCTTGTCCATTCATTCCAGATAACTGCAAACAAAGTAATAACACTAAAACAACATACTCACTCTCAAAACAGAAATAATGGAATAGAAATCATGGGCTCAATTTTGCACACAAAAGTGCATTATTAGTAATCCAGAAGGTGGGTGGGTCCAATAGCGGTTCTAGTGGATGAACGCGACTTACCAGGGTTACAAAACAAGGGACTCAAAAACTGACGAACAATAATTCAATTTTCGAGAACTTATCAAAACTTGAAACTACTGACCTATCCAAGCTTTAGTGATCGGCGAAAAAACGGGGATGACCTATCAACAATCGTCTTTTCAATACTAAGTACGTGCATGAATCTGATGGGCACGTATTGACGTAAGACTGACAGTCGAGCATACGAAACTGGAAGCATAAAATCACAGGACGCATACTTCAATTGGTAATGAGAGGTCACCAGCTGTTTAGGTAGACAATTTGGCTTTCCAGTTGAAAATGTAAAGTGGCATCTCGGCGGATGCCTACAAGTATATGTGCCTGCATAAATCGATTCGTCTGAAGACTACTACCAACGACTTCTCCTAGCCTTTTATCAGGTTCTACACACTGTCAGTCTTCACGATTTACGGAAACACCCAGTATAAATTCGCACACGCATGTGCATTTTTGAGTAAATAAATAGTCATGTTCATCACTTTCAGTTACAACAGGCGGGAATGAAAAGCTAGGACTTTAACGTACTTACAACATGCGTTTTGTGGACAAGAAAGGGGTTTTTCGCAAATAAAATGGGAAAAAAACAGCAGTAGGAAAATTTCATGTTCACTTAATCCTTCATAATCACCTCAGTTTAATTGCTCAAATCAGAGCGCTATAAACAAAACCCTACCATTACATAAATAATGTTCATAGCACAAGGACAACAATCCGAATAGCCGCAAGGTCCTACTATTCTCCTTTACTCAGCAAAATGACTCGTTACCGTCAACTACGCTCAGCGAATCTGCTTCGACTAGACAGAGACTACTCAAAACGAGAGCAGTTGGCTTAGCAGCACTAACGCTAAAGTACAACCAATAAACCAACTGTGGTCTCAGAAGACGGCTCTACTAATTGGATCGTAAAAATGTCAAGTAAACGTTGGCACGAATGCAGCTAGTAAAGCGTCAGGCTACTTCTCTATTACTAAAATTATAGCCATAGTATAACCTGAGCCAGGTTGTAACTTAACCCAAATTATGCCTACGAACATCGTTGAGGTGTGCGTTGGTGTTTTCCTAACTGGTTGATTCCAACCTTTGAGGTAGACGCAGAACATAAGATGGGTACGTCAGTGAGCTCTATTACATGAAAGAAAGCTCGACGTGGAGAATGATAGCTTAATTTGCTGACACCTTGTTTGAAACAGCTGCAAACTTAGTAATTCTACTTAAATATCAGTTACGTGGATCAGCTGACGCATCCAATTGAAACTGAGTTTTTCCTTTAAAAACTGCCATAAAGCGGATTTTAAAGTTGGACTAACGAGGTCCTACCTCATTGTCCGTCGAATCGCCTGTTCTTTGCGTTCTACAGTAATACTTGGATCATGGTCGAGGATTCTCCGAGTTAGTTCCATTACGAAGGTCTTTGTGAAGTTGTTCATCTGCGTATCGGCACGATCGAATGATCGAGTGAGTGAGTCGATGCAGTGGGAGTGATTACTTGCTACGTTATCATACACCCTCTGAATCTACAATAATTTTGAAAAGGAAAAAAAATGTTTGTAACATTACAAAAACGTTTATACATATCCTCAAATTAAAAACTACGGGCTTTATTGTGGTGTATTTTACGTAAAGTGCGCATAAACTTGAGGGTTTGGAGAGCAGCAAAACTTACGTCAATGAGAAGAGGCTGGATGTGGGTCCGAAAGTCGGAATTTCTGGTTGAAGACAAATTTAAGAGGGAGTTGGCTGGTGAGAAACGACGGGCCGCAGCTGGCGCAGTAGGAGAATTACGGTGAGATCCAGCTACAAAAGAAAGCTTCAAAGTGTCACCAAATTCATTAAACAACCCACAAAAATTCATATCAAACATGTGCAAATACAATCTTCAGCGGATGGCAAGAAAATTCCAGTTCGCCGATAGCCATGCTCCCATCGTGGAAAAAAATGTTCAGGTGTGACAGTAAACTAGATGGCGTCCCTCGTATCTCCTCTATGCAATTTCAGTACAACATTTTAGGCCATTACAAGTTCGGTTCGCATCTACTAATAAGAAATTAACAAGCAAAATAAACTGAGTTGTGAACAAGTGCGCACGCCTAATACAAAACAGGGAATAAACTCAACCGAAATGACCATCACATTTGACAAAGCACCTACCCGAGTTTAGGCAAGGTGGATCAAATCAGACTGATGCCGGGGGCATATGAAATGGTGCAAACACACCCTGCACGTGTTTTGGCTTAAATTGTTGTCTGCGCGTTCTACCTAGAAAGTCAGTCCAATGGGCAATTATTGGATCCTAAATGGAGGTTCTAGGACCGAACAACAACCACACGTCATTCAACGACCGATTATCGAGGTGGCGTCCAGATGGCAGCCAACGGCCCTCGATGAGCTCTCACAGGTCAAAAGAGTCTGCAAAGGGAGGACTCAACCTCTCGAATAGGCTGAATAGGCATGAACACCTCGTTCTAATGACATCACCTCGCCAGAAAGGCAGACTTGTCACCGACCCCACTACCTGCATATTCGTCTACCTTTCAAAGACAAGTGTAGTGTTCAGCAGATGCATAAACAATCGTGTTCAAACAGCCATACCACTTCCTCACCAGCCTTTTGGTTTTTACGAGTGGTCGCACAGATTCACCAACCATTTTCAATCGAAGTTGTTTTGTTTATATAAGTAGGGACATTATGCTGCTAAATCAAACAACAACTAGCATTTTTCAAATAATACTGAAAATTCAGTTTTAAAGCGCATTGAAGAAAGCGATCTGAAAAACCGAACTCAAGGTGTTTTCCTGCTACGAGAGTGTAATGAAGTCATGCAGGTCACAAAGGCCTTGAGTTTCGAGTTACAGTGTTGGTGTTAGACTAGGTCCCGTCGTCGAAACGGCTTGGAATTATGTCCTATTTTTACAGCCATTTCAAATAAAGCATCACCTGAAGACTAGACTTTAAATCTGGTCGATTAAGAAATATAACGTGCATCTTCCACGACCGTTATTGACTGAGTTCACCTCTGGATGGTGGAGTTCAAGTTGCTCACAAAAATCACTCCTTGTACAGGAGTTACATGACGCCTTTAAATCTGGATGCAAGAGCAGTTACCTGCGTTTAAACTTCAAGCCCGTCATTTTGGCTACGTGCCACTCCACACCTCTCCCTTCGTCCCCTCCTTATTTGAGAAACGGCGCAAATGGCATCCCTTGTGTTGACAAAATTAGGTCATTGAGTTGTCTTCACAATAAATCATTTCTGTTCCATTAAATGTATAAGCCCCCCGGCGTTGTGCATGACAACAGAGTTTTGAGTTAATAAAAAGATACCTTCCAAGCCGATGCTGCTTCTCTACTATTTAAACAGTTTGTTAATCCAATTTCAAAAGTATCTATACTCGGCCTGTTGAGGCAGGGGCAAAACAGGAAACAATTCGCAACGGAGCCAGCATTGGTCTACATAAACGTCCAAATTTTTAAAATGTTTCACACTTCTGTACCAAACACTCTATCGAAACAAATATTCCGCTAAAATTGTCTTCCGTAAATGCTTAACAGATGAGAAGTTGCAGTTAAGTCGTGTTGATACTTTGTTTCAGATTAAGATTCGGCATAAAAAAACCACCCCATGCTACAGCACCATTCGCAGTCATCCCATCCAGTAACTTCAGGCTGAGTATCGACCCCCATGAACTTAAGGGAGGATGCGCAGCAGCTTACAATCAACGTCAAGACTAGTGCGACCAGTGTTATAATTGAACGTAATGTTAAACTATCTTGGACCATTAGCCAGAGCCCTCCACCGAATCAAAGACTTGGAAACGTGCTCGCCATGTTTGGGCAAACGAGTCACGGTGAGAGACAAATATGACGACTGAAAGCCATTGTATTGGGGTGTGTGCGCACTGACTCACGATTAATTCTGCTGGCACCAGCCACCGCAGCCGTAGGAGAAGAGCGTACATCGTTGACGTAGTGTGGGGAACGATGGTTGGTGATATTCGACGGAGTTCGATTAGGTGTCTCAGAGGAGCGTGAATCTATTGGCTGGGAGACAATTGGGGCGGCTTGTTGAGCCGGCTTCGATTGAAAGTGGCCACCATTGTCTGTACTACAACCAAACGCAAAAACACAGTATGCACCAATGCATGTGAAAGGAAATCAAGAATTTGGAATGATAGTGATGACAAATAACAATGTTTAAAGCATGAAATCGATGCAAAAAGAACCTCAAATTGTGATGGAGTTAGTTCCCTACTTTGCCGATTTTCTTGACATGTATATGCACTTAGGTATTCGTCATAACACATAGGTTATTTTAAAGAATTTTAGATAGTTTCGAAAATTGCACAAAGTTAATCTGCCACACCTCAATAAGATAGGGGCTGTGTGTCAAAGCCATTTGAACCCTTAATTGGTTTTCCGGTTAGTAAGTTTTGAATATGTGATGAGCTTTTTCAATGGTGCGATCGTCCACAGAAGTAGGTAAGACAGTGCCACTAAACCTTTTCATTCAGTCATATTTGAAATAGCTATGGTAGATCAGAACACACAAAATATCAGAATTTTGAAGAAACTGACATCTCCAATGCAAAATACAATTAACAAAATTGGTATCTGCAGCATGCCTACAGAACGAGACTGTGAAAGACAAAACAGAGGACTTTAAAGAAATTACGGGGGTTAATCAATTAAAATATACGTAGGAAAAGCATTAACTGGAGAAATAATACCACATTACGGGTAAAGTGATTGCCATAATTGTTACATTGAAAACTCAGGAGAATACTAATGGTAAACAAATTAGTATGGTCGGCAACTGGATGACCACGATACTACCCTTATCGCATTACGCCAAACAAGAGAGACACCAGTCTGGGCTAATGATCACATGTTCGTAATCCCTTACACATGTGGCTCCATGAGCGCGAAAATGAATGACTCAAATTGTTTTATTAAGAGGTAAATTGCAGGACAGCAGGAAATTTTGGTACCTTCAGATACTATCCCAGGTAATCAAACATCACCATACATATGCGGAAAAAAGCTTAAAATGAAACATAACGTTTACCTTATTGTTTTAACCTATAATATCAATTCACAAACTTGTTCAAGTTTGGGAAAAACTACAATCTATACAAGTAGTCCTTTATAAGCAGCATAACGAGAACGTGAGAAAAACAGATAAGCATTCATTCCAATCTTGCAGATCAATGAACTTTATCCAATAATGAGATATTTCTGGATATTAGAACGAGCCCTCTATCTAAGGAATTCTCGAGCAAAATTTCTCAAGCATTTAATTGATATGTGATCAGTGAACAGCAATGCAATAAAGTCTCACTAATTGCAAGCAGCAATCTCGCTGACTGCAATTACCGAAATCAAATCATAACCCCAGAATAATAGGATATTTCTTCGCAAATTTGTGAAAACAGTTCCTTTGGCGAGTTTTGAATGCATAGTTCGAGTCTGATAAATTAATGTTTCAATACACAAGGCCTTACTGAAACGTTCAGGAAGATGTTCTACGCCACGATTTAGTGACGTTTATTAAATAAAATAGTAGTTGGCATGGTAGTGATTAACCGTTACACTAATACTTCGCGCTCTTTCTTTTGGTATAGCCTTCCCGAATGACCAACCAGCTTTAATTTTGACCGCCCGGGAATCGGGAGTCGCACAACAGAACCACACGATGTAAACACAGACCACGCCTTCGTGTTTATGTGCTGTTACAAGTGCAGCATTTATTGATGCTGTTACAAGAACACAACAAGACACACAGAGCAGCCCGATATGCCCATGTTTTCCTTTACAAACCTGGCAACGATGTTTATGCAGGCGACGAAACCCAAATTACGCTAATCAGGTGTCGTTTACAGTCTTGAGGCATAGCATTAACCATAAAAAATTCATTGTTGATTACATAAGCCTTTACATAACATTGAATGGTTTGATGAATTCGCACAATTTAATATATTGTACTATTCTAACACTTCCCTAGGAGGTTGTATACCATGTGGAATAGGGTGGGTTAATTTTCGATATAATCCAGTTCGCGAAATCTAATTTTACAGCGTTAAGTTCGTTTTGTTCCAAGTTACAGTGCTGCTTAGCACCTAAAACCATCTGACGAGGATCTGCCACGCGCTGTAATGACGAAATGCCGAACATTTGCCTTACTGCATGGCAATTTTTACGTGAACTTAAGTGAAGAGGTGCGGCTAGAGAGTACCGTCGCCATTTCCTTTCACACACACGCACAGCCTGATGTTAAACAACTTACACGGACGGCGATGCGTTAGCGCGCCCAGAGGGCACTCCTGACGGTGGAATTTGCCGTTTGGGCGACGAGGCGTGTGCGGAAACGGCCGGATACGCCACGCCAGCAGGAACATTCTGTTGCTGGTGCGCTGCGGAGGCATTTGCAGGCACCTTGATGGTGTCAAAGTCCCACTTGAAGGTTAGCACATTGCCATTATCTTTGTCACCTTGCGATCGACCCGGGCTAAATGAAAATGCGCCTTCTTGTAAAATACAATAAGCCCTTTTCTTACAAGTTACAAGTGTCATCATTCAAATGAGTGTCAAAGAGTTCGAAAAAAGCTATTCCAAGTACAGTCCCACCGGTAGGCCCCATCAATGAGGACTAAAGCACAGCTCAACTCGAGGTACGGGCATGAACTGTGAGTTTGGGGGAAGCGTGAGACAAAATAATGATAGGAGTTATCGAAGGTATTATTGGGGAACCTTCGTACTGATGCAACCAGCACTTTGGAAAAATATAAAGATAACTAGCTTAAGGTAAAGTTTAATTCACCGCCGATTCATTATTCGTGCAAAGACGAGTTCAAGACTTGCCAGAAAAAAACCAGAGCCCAATATAGGAGTGTGTATGATTTAGACAGGTCATCTCCAAAGTCCCGAATATATAAATTGGAAATCGGAAACATCTACTAAAGTTGAGCTGCAACTTCGCGCAAACAAGTTACAAAGAATATACGCCAATAAACGTCAACGGAACTTACTTTGTGTCGAAATCATCTTCCTCATCATCTGGATGCCCACGGAGATGCGCAAGTCGATAGGCTTCTATCAATTCCTGTAGATAAACTGTCTTACGAGGTTTCTTCACGAAAGGGTGCTTTAGCAACTCCTGGGCCGAGTGACGCTTTAAAAAAAACGGGAAAGAGGCAGATAAATAATTTGCCGACTGACAACACAATAAATTTCACTTAACGGGAGAGTAACTAGGACCTTGGTATAACTGACCCCAGTTAATATTAGATACTAAAAGTCCGCTTATTAGAAAACATTACAAGAAATGTACTCGGCATATAGGATGGCTCAAAAGAACGTGTCACCATTTATGTGTTAAAAAGTGATTTTTGAAACTAAGATCCTACCCTCAGACTGGCAGCTAAGAAATTTGGTTTGGAACGGTGTAGAGTTACCATGCACGGATAGCGACACAAGTAGTACAAACTTTAACGTGCATCTGCCGAGTAGTACAGCACGAAGAGTGCTATCTCCCGTGAGAAACACTACCCGACCCATGGTAATTCATAGAGTTCGTCTAATGGGGCCCAACAGTATGCCACAGGTTTAACCAACCGCGAAATTAAATATTAATACCATAATGTTGTGAAGGGTCACAGGAATAAAACAGCCTCGCGAAGAAAAGACACACAATGAGACAATTAGTGAACTGTGGCGGGCAACATCTCATGAGGCAGAGGCGACGTGCGCGAAGGAAAGTTAGCGACGTAACCAATCCGATCGCCGCGAAACGGCCTAAAGCTGCGTCGACGAGAAAGCGGTCTGTCCAGCACGATGAGTAATCGAGTCGTTAATGCCTTGTCGTCACGACACCATACAGCCGAATTTGACGCATTCCGAACAAATTTTGGCGTGATGGATTATTTAGACTGAGAATGTACGGGTCACGCCTGCGTTGATAGCAGCCTGGCGAATAATAGTTGCCAGTACAGGATGCATGCTTGGACAACCTTTCAACACGCAACTGATATATTTATGATGTGTGGTTAAATATACTCAAGTCGTAATCGGCACTTTCACTAAACTCCAAAAGTACGTTTGCCTAAGAGACACGTCATTATAATCTAGTCCCGGGATAAATGCACAATGTTCAGACAGCCGAGCTTGGCACAGATGTTACCAAACATTACCTCCGTGTTTCCGCCAACATTAGCAGTTATTGATGGCTGCACCAAGCAGTAAGCACCGCGATGAAAAAGATCCGTGAAGACCGTCGAATCAGCGTTTCGGGAACGAAATATTTTATTTATTTCACCACATGTAATTTAAATGTTTTTATTCCAAAGCTGATCTCGCATACCTATCAAGAACAACGGTTCCCCTCTAGACAAACTGAGCCGATGGGCAGAGTGGAAGTACTCCTCATAGAAGCTGTTGCTTAAAAGCCAACCATAATAGAAACCGATGGGGTTGTGCGCTTGATAGTGCGCTTTGGCATGAGCTAACGAGCTGGGTAGCGAAAAGCGTGGTTTTACGACTTGCCGACTATGCTGAGTAATCGGCTCCGACAATTTTCTTGTTGTGTCAATGTTTGGGTGAAACGAGCGCAATACCAGATTTGTAAAGCGTCATCCAATAAATTAGGCGTTTGTGTTGCCCCTTATACCTAAGAAGCGTAATTTGTGTAATGTTGGACTCAGTAAACAAAATAAAGACGTGGGTGATCGTCACATGTCATATTTGACCTTATTTTACCGCGCCAACGAGGCCCTAAAAGGGACGCTAAATTTCCCCAGGAATTTGTGCTGCAAAGAGCACACAGCATAATCACAAACAAATTGATTGAATTAAGCTAGAGCTTTAACCGTATTTGTAAGCGATAAGAAACGTAATACCTTTTATGACTGCAATATCATTAACATTGAGACGACGGCAAAGTGGTTGGAACGATGTGCCAAGTTAATTATCATGAACGCTTGACCGAAACTAACGCCTAATCAGGTAGTTTCACAGGATGCAGTGCTGAATAAAACAGCGTTAAATGTTCAAACGCTGTAGGCCAAGGGGAAAAAGGTAAAAAACACGCGAAATTGGATGGGGTTAGGGCTACTGACTTGCATTTTGGATGCGATGTGCTTAAATATGAAAATAGGGCTTAAGGAACTCCTCCAAGTACAAAACCGTGTGTCGGTGAAGTGCGGTACCGCATTTATTCTGTCCATTTGTTTGCAAAAGTAAACTATGCGTAAAATTAGTCTTCAAAAACAGCTACCACTCAACCGCATTTGTTGAGGTATTTTACCACAAAAACCTGAAATCCGGCACATAAACACACATGCTTCCCATGAAGTAATCAACATTTGTTCGTTATTAAAACCAGCCTAGCTGTGGCACAGTTGAGATATGATATTCGAACGCTCTTAGAACGTACAAAGCACTGTTTAAGCTCTTCATTTAGTTTGATAATTATGATCTTGTACAATTAGAAGGGAATATTAATCAATGCATGCCCTACAGAGCATAATCCGCTCCACAATGCCATTATCTACTTGGAAAGGAGTTGCTTTGAACTACCACACTTTCCACTGCTCCAGCATCGGCAAAACTGAACCAAAGATATGGCGACTTGGTTTAGGCTCAAAATCATTTCGGAAAACCGACCTATCTTTGGAAACTATGATTAACTGAGAGTTGTCGAGAACCCCTTGCTAACCATATCCTCACCTTTCAAAATCAAGGAAATTATATTGATGCAGTCTTAGATTTAGTCAATACAGTGAAACAGCTGCTAAATTACAAACAAGTGCCTTTGAGGACCAAGGGTTCAAATTACATCTTGGTCTCGTTTAAACTCAAACAAGACCGAAATGAAGGCCAAAGGTGGAATTGTGGAAACGGCCACATAGTACAACATGTCTGTACCGTGGCGCTGCAAAAGCACGCGAACTTTCAGGTGTAAATCTTAAATAAGTGAAGTTGCTGAGACGTTGACAACCACTTGTGGGACAACTAAGAGAAGAATTTTACTATGAGGGACCATTGACGTTGATGAAAAAAGCATTGCCCTTTGATATTTGGTAGTTTGGTTGTTCTGCAAACCCACACTCTTTTTAATTTGACATTCCGACAAAACTAAAATCCGGACAACCGCTAAGGTGAATATATGGACACTTTCTCCTATCCATGTGCAGACATCGATTGCCTTTAGAGCCTATTTAGAAACCGTATGTTTTTATTTTATCAATTGCCACGTGCGTGCATGTTTATTTTAAAAGACCAGTAAACTGAAAACATAATGAATGTTGAATAAACCATCCTAGCTCGACAAATTTGATTAACAAAGTATACCGGGTGTAATGCGACTAGATAGACTAGCTGACTAATAAGACAAAAAAAGGAGAACAAAACGCGCGGAGTTGGCTAAGCTGTGAGGGAGAGACGCATAAGCTTGACAATCAAAAGGGGGGACGATAAGTACGGGATAGCAAGGCTTACATTTTCTGGAGACCGCACTAAACAGCACTGGACGAAGTCACGAAAGTTCGAGGAGTAGCGTTCGGGCAGTTTGGGCGGAGGGTTGCGGGGAATGTCAAGGAGGACGCGCATTGGGTGGACGTCGGAGTTAGGAGGAGCGCCCTCTGCCAATTCTATCGCTGTGATCCCGAGAGACCAGATGTCTGCCTAATTGAACAAACGATACAGTTCCCACAAGGTTGTGCAACCACGTAAGGATGTGATTTTTCACTAAACGCAAAATTAATAAACCCACTTTCCAACACTATAGTCGCGTGTGCTCAAGTTCTAGTGTTTGATTTCGGCTTAGTATCGCATACACTGCTCTTGTTCGTTGTCTTAGTCACACAGAAAATCTGTACAAGTACTAACATGCGTTAACACATCAAATGGACGAGTCTTGTTTAATGACTGCGATGTCGACCCTGTGGTGTTTTCTTCGCCATCCTCCATGTTCTCGCATCATATTGAAATTAAACGACAATGTGGTTACAAAGTAGCCATATATAACTAAATATGAACAACAGTGTAATATAAGACGAAGATGGCGGTATTGACAAACCTTCGCATTTGAAAAACGATCGAGCTGCAGCATTAGTGCTAATGGCTGAACAAATCCTAAATCCGAGAAATAAAGAATTGTTCGGCGAGGTGTTTAATGCGTCGATTACATTGCGAGAATTTGAAGTGGGATCAAGAATAAGTACCAAGGGTGAATAGAAGGCCAATAAGATATTTGCACCACTTAACTCAGAATATTTCACCTTTAGTTTGAATACAAGGTGGGTTGATTGAAGGGGACTTGAGGTTATAGCGCCTTCAAAAAACTTGAAAACATTAGAGAGGGTTACCGACAATAGGGGGACCAATACGATGGGTGACAGGGCTGACGAAGACGCAAAGATGTCATCGCGTTTCGGCAATAAAAAAAGACAAAGATACTAAAACAGGCCAAAGTGAGGAATCCCCTCTAATTTGGTGCTTATTTATTCTCTTTGAACATTAAAAGCGAATGAAAAGGTAATTTACACTTAATAACACATCGGTTATTTTAATGTATTGATCACATGTTCGTAATCCCTTACACATGTGGCTCCATGAGCGCGAAAATGAATCGGAACACAAGTATGAATAAAACTGAAAAAAGGCTTGTTTCGTAGGAGCTCGAAACTGGCTGACTTTGAAAAATTTGGAAGTTTCAGACATAGTCATGTTTGATGATAATTGCCTACAGGCGATGGGTCTGTGGAAGTAATGTCAGAAAATTTACAAGTTAAGACATCACGAACAATTGTACAATACAACGGTCTCGTAAAAACTAACCTTGTAGTCGTACGACGACACCTTGATAACCTCCGGTGCCATCCAGAAAGGCGTTCCGACGAAAGTAACGCGTTTTTTTGTTGTTTTTGTCAATTGCCCGGCGACTCCAAAATCAGCGAGCTTGACCTCACCCTTGTCCGAGAGAAGGATGTTGGCGGCTACACGAGGGCGAAATGAACACAACTTATCAAAGACTCCTTCAGAGACAACATTTGGTCCGACTGCTGCCTACGAAACTGGTTAGCGTACTGCCAGAAACCACTTTCATTTCGAATAGTAAAGGAGGAGATTGCCGACTTCCACATTCAGCAGTAATTATTAAAAGCATTTTTAGTAGACAAATAACAAAAATCACCTAACAGAATGCCTTCGCATAAGCACTAAGTTCTTTCACACAGTGAAGGTTTTTGAAACAAAGACGTAGGGGCAACTTCAGTGAAAACATTGAGCTCAAAAGGTCTCTAGTAGCAAACGTTCTTAAACTAAAAAAATACCCATGGAGGTTGGTTTTTGATACAAGTCTGAACCCTACTGTAAGTCGGTAGTATCGGTACAAATTTGCCTAATAGACAAATAACCAAAATTGCGCAAGTTTCAAAATAACCAGTTGCCTGTGGTATTGACGAAGTGTTACAAAAACGAGTGTAAAATCAACTTGCACTATATCGACATTGGCTACATTCGTTTGCAGAACGCGTAGAAATTTAGCATTAATTTAAAAATCGGATCTGGAAGACGCAGGCATGCGCATAAATAGATGAACGCTTGAAGGCTTGCTGCACACAGGGTATCGATTTGGTATTCAGCCTTCATAATCATATGCACAGCCAATGCCGTTAGACGTGTCGAAATGCGTGAATATGGCATTTGTGAGTTACAAGGGTTGCATATTGAGAAAGCTAAGGCCGTCTTAACAATTGACGAAACTCAGAAAATGTCTAACGTTGCAAAATACCTAAGCAACGACCAGCACAGGAGGTGGATACTTGTCAAATAAACTTTTGGTCAATAAAATAGCGTAAAAAATCTTTTCAGTTCTGAGGCTGAATTGAAAAAAGTTAACCGATTTATACATCCAATCGCAATGTTACGCCGTTTTTTTGAAACGAAACTGATCAATCGTCTGATGAGATCAGTCAGTAGTCATGCCTGGAGTAGCAGGCCAGCACTCTAGATTCAGAAAGTTAGTTAAATTAACACAACTTTAAATCGACCAGCATATTTTATTAGAATGCCTCTACAAACCTTTTATGTCCCGGTGCAGTTTTCCTTCGCCATGCAGATATGCTAAGCCCATGAGGACTTCATGTAATATAGTTGCGATATACGGTTCGTTAATTTTGACCGCTTTGCGGATCTCAAGTGCAGATCCCCCACCCATAAACTCCATGATTATCCACAATTTGGTGCCCTTTAGGTAGGACCCATAATATTTGGTAATGTAGGGGCTGTCACACTGGGAGAGAATATTTATTTCCTGTTGAATGTCCTCCAGTTCATCCAACGCCTCTTCAAGATCGATACGCTTAATCGCGACCAAACGACGAGTCCGTTTATCCACACCTTTGAAAACCTCGCCGAAGGCACCACGTCCTATCCTCTCGTTCACATCATAAAGCGTGTCTGGATCGACTTGCTGAAGGGGAAGAAAATAGACTAATAGAAAAATAGACTAACACGTGCTGAATACAAAAAACAGGGCACCCCAAAATCATAAAGTTGATACAGACGAACACGCAATTTGTTTTCAAATCGGCTCCAGTTATTTATTAAGTTATTTGGTAAATGAAGAACCTAAAACCTCTGTGTTTTCGCCACTGAACACTCGACTGTTTTACAAATTGGGATTTTATAAACCTGGCTTTAAGATTAATAATGGTTAAACGAGAGGAGACAACTGATGATAGCGCAAAAAGTACATCGCTCATATCTCTCATTACTTGACAAAACCGGCTTTTTGTCATTTTCTCAATTCTGATCCCAGTGATTCTAAAAGTTAAACTAACTCGGAGAAATACGAACATTTAACAAGCAATCCCCACCGAAGCGGATGGGACCCAAAGTCCACCACAGACTAGTAAGCCATATAAATGGATATTTACCTAATTAAACATTTGGAAAATTGTGTTTATGGGAGCGGAATTCATTATTTATACTGTGCGGCGTTCAATTTATCACTTTAGAAAATGAGGGAGAGCACATGGTCGTCGTTCTAATCCCAAAAATATAATATAGCAGAAAAAACAGCAAAATCTCTGCGACAAATCGAATAAAAAGATAGTATTGCGAAAGCAATTTGACGTTGAATCGCAGAGGGCCCTAATCAATCAGATCAGCCAAAAATATTAGAAACAGCACTGATAACCCTGCACGATAAAATGGCGATGGAATGAAATACCAACTAGTAATGACAACATGAAGGTGATTCAAAGACGTCATTAATGGACGTGATCAGCCACGAAATTCGCTTGGTACTTAGATATAAGGGACCAAAAAGAAATTACTTTTATCTAAGGACTATGATCTAGACAAATAATTTTTAGACATTTGGCTTAACCTAATTTTAAGAAACCAGGAATTGAAGCAATAACAACAGAACCCGACCGAAAGCAATTTGGTCGTCATTTGATCAACAAAGTGACTAGGCTGTGAATCTAACGGATGAGGAGCACGATATGGCAATTAATGAAAATACAGGTCGGGTAGAAATACACAACATTAAAACGAAACTGGAAGCTTTTGCAAATCTGACCATTTAGCTCAGACTGAAGATCTGAATTAAAGACGATAAAATTGACCAAGACATAATCTGATGAATAATTATACCGGAATCAGCAGGGGCTACACGGGATTCAGGTGAATTTGCAACTGCAAATGCAATAAAACCATCGCATTATAAATCACATTTTTTTCGCAACACTGGGACAACGAAATTTTACGCATGCGCCTTAGCTGGAAGGATTGTAAGCTATTCAGCAATAAACGCGCAACAAATTTAATATTATAAAGTGGGCATGAAGTTCAGAGACCTTGAAGATTTATTTGTAAAACAGAACTAAATCCAGTACGGCTAAATTGTTACGAGTTCTCCTTCTTATAAAGGAGTAGAAGAAAGTGCGGTATCGCGAAAATTAAGTTTCATACATATCAGATAAGTTCTTTAAAATCACTAAAGAATGACAAACACAATCTTCTACGGCAAATTAAAACAAAACTAAATTGAGTATAATAAAAACCCACTTCAGAATTGCAAAACGAGAGTCCAAAGAGGTACAAAGTGCATTAAAAATCAAAGCAAAATAACTATACTAAAGATGCCTATACGATGTTGTGTGTACACTAACCAAGGGCAGAACCATTGTGTATACCTCAGTTCACAAGCATTATCGCATAATTTTGCTGCAACTGAGTGTACCGATTAAACAAAGTTACGCAAATCCCCACTCCTAATACGTACATTGTGCATAAGTTTGTCATCACTTAGTAAGAAGTGTGCATATATCTGAAAAGACCTCGATTATTTTAAAAGATTAAAAGATTACTTACATAATAAGTAACTAAGATCAGGTTCGAAACAATAATTCATGGCTGCGATGAATATTGCTAGTTAACGACTATCACCACGATTTACACTAAACTAGCCACTAGGTTTATTCAGTCCTTCGGATCCCTGCAAAGCAACAGGACCAAGTTCCTGGTATTTACCCCTTAATTTCCCTTTGTGAGCCGCTTCAACGCGTACACACGAAGCTAATCTCCTAGGACTTCCACTGACCAACTACTTAAATACTGGTGTGAAACAAGAAGCAACTGTTAAGGCTGGCGACACATAACTACGTCCGAACAATGGATCAGCACGCCAAGATTCACGACCAAATAAACAGTTTAACTCCCATCAATTTTGGTCTTCGCATTCTTATCAAGGTACGTGGTCGCAGATAGGATCGCAGTATCAATCGGAATTCGGTTACCATAATGTAGTTGCGACTCGACCTTCCGGCTACTCAACGCATCAAAACAAATGTCACAAATAAACTAACTTTTCTAGAATAAAAAACAAATATCATAAATCTTTTTGAGAACTAAGTAGGGATATAAACCGATGTATTTAAAAAAATTACATACAAGGTGTATAAAAAAACCTATTATTCGTCAAGATTCTTCAGGGAAATAGCGCAAACATGCGACACCCATGTGTGCGCAAACAATAAAACTACAAGATGACTGAACTTCATCAAATCAAAAAGCAATCTGAAAAAAAATTCGCCTTCCGCTACCCCATAGTGAAAATAAAAAATGATAAGGGCCAGAATAAAAAAATCTAAAAAAGTCGATTAAAAGCGAAACACCCAGTCGAATCAAAGTTAACGTGGAAGAAATTCTAAGTCAACGTTTACAGCTTCATTGCAAAAAAGGACTAAAGACAGACTCACCGGGTTTGTTGTAAACATTTCACCAAAGAATGATTGTCGGCCCACTAACTACTCCGAAACTGACATTACGAAACCGACTATACAAACCTTATTGGTTAAATTAACAGTTTGTAGGAAGCGCGTTTGAAAGTGGTTTTTGTAAACATTTTCCCATATTTTTTCAAGTTTTAAATTAAGTTGCAATTTTTTAAAATTGTTTTGGGCTATCCTTACATGCTGTTGTTTTTCTGCGGCAAATTTTTTAATTTTAGACACTATGAAACTTATATTTTTCAAATTTACTCTTCATGCAATTTGTCCAGTATACACATGCAATTAGCCACAAAGACCATCTGAGGGGCATAATCCTTGGCTTAAAAATTTCTGTTAAACTTAAACCAGAAATGAGTGAAAGGATTTTTTTGTATATCAATCCTCAAAATTTACTGTAAATTTAAATGGACAAAGAGGCTCTTTTTGTAGAATTTTTTGAGATAATACTATTCAGTTACCATTCAAGCGTTTTGCTGCCATGAAGCGCATTAACATAATTCGCGGTTTACAGTAACAACCATTCTAAGGTATGATTATTTGATGTGTAACTTCGATGTGGATAATCCAATGGAATCGCCTAA